CAGGTCCCTTCCGACCCTAGAAACTATGAAATAGGAACTTTTTGTGGTGCTACAAGTGGCCCAAACATGCTGATGCTCATTTGTAGGATTAAAGTCTACAATATAGTGCTACAAAAGTAATGTGTACCCAAGGCTCTGCTCTAATGGCAGACTAGAGCAAGAAAATCAAGTCAAGAATCTGTTTAATTAATAGCTTATATCCACATCTGCACACATGTAAATCTAAGGAGGCTTCTGGTGAACAAGCCCATTATGCTTTTTCTGTCTGTTAAACCAATTTTCAAGCATAGCAGAGGTCTTGCTGCTAGCATTAAAACAGAATTATGCCTGAGTTTTAGATTTCAGCTCTTCATATATTTTAAGCATTCATACTTTTAGTTTAAAAGAGTTTGGGGGGGGGGGAGAAGTAATCTTACAAATCTCAACTTTTCTCCTTTCCCCTAGTTCAGGGACGTGTTTTGCTCAAACTTTTCCAAAGGTTTACTTTCTGGCAGAATACCAAATGGAAAATTTCAGTTCCCAGGGTGCAGCTTCTTGAGACTTGATGAAAATAATAGAACCCAAATAGTGGACTCTCAAGTCAGTAATGCTGTCTGCTCACAAGGAGTTCCCTTGCACAGATCAGAGCCCAAGGGGTAAAAGCATGGGCCAGCCAGAATTATAATTGTGAAAACTGTTTGGAAACCTTTCCTGTAATTGCTACTTTTAACAAGTATTACAAATAAATTCCATTTAAGGACCATATTTACAAAAAGCTGGAAAAATAAGCTCACTGTCTGTCAAGACTTCATGTGTTTCATCCTATTCAATCCTGGACTTACACAGAGACTGCAAACAAGGGACTGCAATTCTTAAATCACACCATCATATCAAGGAAGTAAATGGAGACCCCAGTGCATTTCATAGATACACTGGGTCACAAAAGCTTTTGACCCTATCTTCATTCATATTTTTTACCTTGGTAAAGGAAGATCTACTTCTGCAAATTCTTTATGCCTCTTGTTGACCTGACCTTGAGGGTGCTGATCACGATCAGGGACATGTGAAGTGCCTTCATCATCGCTGTCTCCAAGTGCACTATCTGAACTTTCATTCCTAGGAATGTCTCCTTCGATTCTAGTGGAGATTTTCTTTCCACCATCCCCATAGGAGATATCTTTATGAACTACTTGACTGCAGTCCTGTATGACAGCAGAACTTGTTTGAATAGTGTCAGGGGAATGGCCCTCCAGATTCTTGGAGTTCAGAGTTCTACCTTCTTCCAAGCCTTTTGTTTTCATGGTTTTCTTTTTGTTATCACTGGGTACAACTACTTCACCTGAGAGTCCAGGAAGAGCGGAAGTATTTGCTACACGCATTTCAACTCTATTACCCTCAGCCAAGAGGTTATTAAACACATTCTCACTCCCTTTATATGATGGAATCTGTGCATAACAAACATTACGTCTAATACATGGCTGAAAGGGGGCCTTTGAAGATTCAGGTCGATTCTCTGCATTTTCTGCCAAGGCATTTGATGCATCTGAAGTACAGCTTATTAGCTCTGATTTTTGTCTGAATGTCTCAAGATTTTCATCCACTTCCTGCTGGCAGGTTTCTATATCTGACTCAGGTGATGTAAAACTACCGATCTGAAAAGTGACCCTTTCTAAATGAGGACTCCTGTGAACAAGCCTCTCAGGACAGGGTACAGCTGATGACCTACCAGACAGCTTTTGTTCTACTTCACAAAGAATCTGGCTGGGGCTCTTTAATTCATTTATTAAAACTTCCGATTCAGCTGGTTCTTCAAAATGGTAGGATATAGCTCCTGTAGCAGTTGCCATCTCTTTCCTGTTATCATCCACTGTTCCTTTATGAGACACATAACTGCCAGTTGAGCTGTCTTTGGATGCAATACAGGGCTCCTCAGTGCTTGCATCTGCCTTTCCTATTACTTCTTCATTCTTTTCTTTTGAAGATGGTGGCACAGCACAGGAGTTTTCTGGGTTACTTACACACCCTATAGAGATACTGTTTTTATTTCCACCATTCTCTTGAGGTAGGATTGGAGGCACAAGAGCAGGTTCATTTCTAACAGTGACAACCACATAGTCAGTTTCCTCCACCTCTCCCTTTTCCAATGCAGTTGTTATATTACTTCCATTCAGCATTTGCTCCCCCTCTCCAACCTTCCCACTCCAGGTCAGTTGATTTTCCTGTAGCTCAGAGCAGCGTATGAAGTATGTGAGCACAAAAAGTAAGCGCTGAACCAATTCTTTACGTTTTCCAACTATCACAGTTCGTGTCAGCCTAACTGGAGAGCCTATGGCACCATACAGATCACCTATACAAAGGCATAAAGAGATTTACAGTTGGATAGGATGATATATATAAAGTTCACAATTAGACAGAGTTTAACCTCAATACATATTACTTCAAAAGAACACTTGTAATTTGGGTAGTTACTTCTTAAATAGTTTGCAAAATGCTTTGTTTCATGGTAAATTCATAAAAGTTTGAAGCTCTGAAAACCAGGCATCCTTTCTTCTATTCATATGCTAGCTTGTTCTCGCACGATTGATTATAAAGGCTAGGCAACTACCATTCCAGCAGCTTTGAGGTGAAAAGGACGGAAGTTTGTTTTAGAAAAAAATGGAAATTACAAAAATGTTACTCTGATTTAAAAATGGTCACAAGGAAAAGAAAAACAAGTCAAGAATAAGTTTAACACTTGACCAAATCAATAAGACGTTACTGTACTTACTTTCTCTCATACCAAGTTAAGCAGTCTTAGAATTTTGCATAAAATATCTAAAATTTAAGAATGAAATGCCATCTACCGTATCTCAGAAAACAAATTACTTTCTCTGTAGGCAAAGGATATGCACTTCAAGTGACGCTACCCAGGCTATTGGGGAAAAAACATAACTGATAGTGTTATATCTATATAAATAGAACATAACACATTGTGTATTTTCACTTAGAGGTAGGTGCCCCAGGCATAGGGTTGGCACCTTTAGGATTGTTTATAAAATTTAAATATCCATGAGCTTTTGTAAGTAAAGAGATAGGGTCTTAGCATTGCTGGCTCCACAAGGAAACATAAGTAATCAACTACAACAATGGAATACCATGTGCTAGGTTTCTATCAGATGTTTCCCCGAGTCCAAGCAGCTTGGTCTGTACAAGTCCACAGAAGGCAGTGGAAGCCCACAGGCAGGGAATCGGCAACATGCAGCTCATAGGCTGGGTTCAACCCGCTGGAGCCACTGAATTCAGCCCATGGAGCCAGAGGGGCTGGGGCTGGCCAGTGAGGAGCTGAACTGCTGCTGCTACTTCTTTCCCACAGCTGCCTGGCTGCAGCACAGACACAGCTTCCAGCTAGTGGGGAACTGAGCTGGGGCCAGCCAGTTTCCAGTTGCGCCTCTGCTGAAGGTGGGAGGCAGGAGGAGGAAAATGGAAAGAAATGGGGTGGAGAAAGGTGGCAGCAGTGCAGATGCAGCTTCGTGTGGCCCAGCCCTGGTTCAGTTCCCCACTGGCTGGAAAACATCTGCAAACCAGCCAGAAAGCTGGGGGTAGAGATGGGCAGTGGTGACCCAGGCGTAGCTCCCAGCTGCCTGGCTTCAGCACGTGTGCAGTCCAACACCCTGCTTGCCCCTCACCGTTGACGTGCCACCAAAGACACCGGCCTGTGTTGGGCTGGGGTTAGGCTGTTTTGACCTGTAGCTTATAAAAGGTTATTAGCCCCTGTGCTCTAAGGTGGAGGAAGGCTTGCAGAATGTTTATTATTATGGATGATGTATGGAAAGAATCCAGATTGAATCTCAAAGCTCCACCATTCAAAAGAAAAAGTCAATTTACTTATAAGCTGAGCACAGCTGCTATGGAAATCAAATAAGCATGAAGCGTATATGACATTATGAAGTAATGAAGAGTAATAAACAAATAAACACCCCACATACACACACTTTAACGCCTTAGTCCTAGAAACATATTTGCACATTACATAACTCTAGACATATGAATAGTTCCACTGACAGGCATATTAAAGCGAAGGCTTGTTTGCAGGACTCAGACTTAAGTTAGAATTGATTGCATATAATTAACTTTAAACATCTCTTAGAGCAACTTGCTGGCAATTTAACATGCAAATCATAAAATTTCCAGACAGGTCTACCATTAACAGTGACAAAGATTTCTTAGAGTGATAGATCTTCTATGGGACCAACTATTTAGTTGGGATAAAGCTAGACAAGCTTTCAAATGCAAGACATCTGGAATGCAGCGAGCAACCCGAGGAAGAATGTCTTGCATTTGAAAGCTTGTCTAGCTTTATCCCAACTAAATAGTTGGTCCAATAGAAAATAACACCCTAAGAAATCCTTGCCTCTTGCATAATTTATAGACCATCACAACTACAACAACACTGTTACACTACCATTAACAGCAGATTTCTATCACATATGAAAGACTGAAATTAACTTAAATTTTACTGAAATGCCATGATCTACGAGAACATGGCATGTCTACAAATTTGTCTCTTTTCAGAGTTATTTACATACCAGTCACCCAAAATAATTTTTTAAGGAAGTGATCTTTTACCAAGAGAACCTTGACTTTTGAAAAACCAATGAACCACCAGGGGGCAACATTTTACTTCACATTGATGCAAGTTACAAAACATTCATATTTTGGACTATGCGAGAATATAGAACAGAAGAGATAATTTGATATCCAACTACTTAGCTCTGGTTGCATCTTTATAATCTTGGTAGGAAGACCAGATTAACACTACCTTTCTGTTGTACCTACTCCTTTGTGGATACTATTATTAGCATAAAGTTTGTATCAGTGTTCCCTCCTTTCCTATGGAAAACCACTAGAAGCTGCGTCTGGAAGGAAGGTCCAGATTACACCTTCATTTTACACCACTTTACACCTTCATTCCAACTCAATTTTAGACTCCTCAGTCCTTCGTTCTTCTCCCTCCTGTCCAAGCCAACTCCATTCTGCTCATTTAAAAAAAATCCAGTACATCACTCCTCTTGACAACTCTTCAGTTTTAAAGCAGGCGATGCTAATGCTGCAACTGAAACAACAGTTCTCAGGGTACCTGCGTCTCTGAATAAGAGCCTCGTCGCTACAGCCAATAGAATAATATAAGATAACAAGCAGCCAACACATGAACATCAACAGTTCAGTGTCTACATCTCATTTCTACTATGCTGAGTGTTTCTGACTTTTTAGCCTTTTTAGATAACATACAAAAAACTAGGACGAGAAGTATTTTCCAAAAGGTAAGAATAAAGAGCAGGAATTTGTGCAAAAATAGAATACTGGCATCTGAATATCTATTCTGCAAACAATCATGCCCAAGTATGTTGGTCACTATGTATCACCTGTATGAGGTGCAAGTTCTAGAAGGTTGCTGTAGGCAGTTTTAGTTGTTTCATCAGCTCTCTTTTCACATGCTTCTCATACAGAAGTTATGCCACTCCTGGCAAACCTGACCCCAGTTGTCTTTCCTGCTTAGTGCAGGGGGGCTGGACCTGATGATCTTGTGAGGTCCCTTCCAGTCCCTTAGAGTCTATGAAACTGAAGCATTAAGCTAAAGCCAATCCTTCCCCTCCCTCTGCCTCCCCCATCTGAAGATTTAGGGCCAGAGTCTGCAGCTGGGTTTTGTGATACCTTTGTCCTCTTGCAATTGCCTATCAGAGAATTCCCATGGGCTAAAGTTGTCCCTGCTTACCCATTTGCTCTGTAACTGGGCCCTGTTCTTCTTCCCAACCTCTTTCACCTTTCTTGACTTCCCTATTTCAGACTTCTGTATATTAGAGCCATCCTTGGAAAGTGTTTCACTGCCACAGGGGCCACTAACAACCCCAATCTAATGGCAAATCTTAAAGCTGCTGTGCTGGACCACGTCCAACTTTGAGAGTCAGTGATCCCAAACCAGTTCCCGGATATCATGCCAGCCCCGACATGCAGGGAGATGAAGTACATGTATTTCATTCTTGTCTGCACTTGAACAGCTCCCACATAAGAGGTGTAGAGCCAAGGGGAGGGTTGTTAAAAAAAATTCGATTTAAAAATAAGAAAGTTTGCTACTGACCAAGCTGAGCCCAGAGAGGGTTATAAGGATGTGATTTTGCCAGCATGTTCACAGACTGTGATGTGCGTTTCTCAGAAAAGGCCTTTATGGGAGGATGATCCACTGGCATTACAGTCGGGACCCATGCCAGATGATAAGTCAGCACCGCAGTTAACAAAGCAGCAAAGAACCTGAAGAAAACAAGCAAGGTAATACCAGAAAAATATCCTGCCATGCCCGTATCAGCATGCTTTTCATTGCATTTTTATGCAATGGATGACAGGTTCCTGAGAGGCAAAGGGAGGAAACATACTGGTTCTTATTGATGTGTTCTATCAGAAGCGTAAATTCCTTAAGAAATCGCTGACATAACTGGTTCTTTTCCAGTGTGCTGGACATCATGGTAAGCCACACAGGTTCTGCGATTCTTGGAACCGAATACAGGTTCCAGATTGTAATTCTGTCACAAAGAAAGAGAATGAAAAGCTAAGTTAACCTGTGTGCAGGAAGGCTGCCAAAATGAATAGTTCCAGTTTCTCTTCTACAATCTCTTTGAGCTATGCAGGTTTTTTCCATTGTCTTCAGAAGCACACTTTTGGACACCTTATCTAAAATGCATCATATTGTAATCAATAGTGTACTACATAAAACAATATCCACTACAAGGCAAAAAAGTCGGGCAATGCATCTCAGCAAAATCTAAATATCTGTGCTGTAGATGCATTAATAAACTGGAAAATCATGCATCAAGCTAAAGTGGTTCATTTAACATAGCAGCTGCTCCGCATACAAGCAATGTTTACTTCATCATACTTTCTGGTACACAACATCAGTGTGCAAATTGAAACTATAGGAGATTTTCCCTAGGAAATTCTGCCTAAAAATCCGTACAATGTAAGAGAAGTTGTGTATGGAAAATCCCTGTACTTGGTTAATCCAAGTACGTAGTACAGATGGAAATTTGTACAACATGCATAAAAGTTGAATATGACATCAGGAAAATCCCTCTGCCAAACACCTAAGTTCATGCTCAGTGAGGAAGTTCTACTGCCTCACCAGAATTAGTTAAAATTAAAAAAGTCAACAAAAAAAATATTAGTTTCCTCTTAATCTTATCATCAGAAATGGACAAATAATCTCCGCTGAAATTTTCCAGTGGAATTTCAGCTGCACTCATAGACCTGTCATAAGAAATCTCAGCCAAAGTGATTCAAGCCTGAAAGATGTACAGGCAGCTGAAAATGGGGTCTTGCAGTGGGAAGCACAGGGTAACCTTAACTACCAGCAGCGCTATCAGCTCAGCCAATAATTAAATTCAGCTGCAAGTCACCTGAATTCTCCCAGGGCATCCATGACGCGGCTGATATAAACTTGCACTCTTTGGCTGGATTCTGCTATCTTCCTACAGGAGATCATTGCCTAGATGAAAAATAAGCGAGAAAAGAAACATTCATAAAAGCTTCACATAATTTACCTATGTAAACACAAATTGACATATACTGTCATTAACAAACTGCGGTGATGCAGTCACTTAGGAAAAGGCTGCTCCCAGTCCACTGCGGGGCCACTTAAGACCAGTCCAAATATGCAACCACATGTGCAGGAGAGGAGCCAGGCAGAGCTATTTAGACAGTACTTCTACCACCTTTCCCTTTACAAGCATACCCATTTTGCAATGAAGCAGCCTGTTTTATTTAGTGGTAGTCAGGACCAAATTAACAGATGACTTGCTTCTCTGCATGGTGGTGCAGGGGAGGCAGGGGCAGGAAGGGGGGAGATAAAAAAGAGCTCACCTCCCTGTGGAGGTTCTGCCACAGTTGTGATAGCAAAACAGGTCACTGCCACCTCAGAACAAGTTTCCCTGAAAAGGGACTGATTCCTGCAGCAAGACAGGCTTCCTAGTGGCAGCTATGTGGTACCACCTCTGAACTGATGCTCAGGGTTGATGCCCCCCACCCCCAAGGTACTGCTGCTTGACATCTAGTTTAATGCTCCATTGAGCTGGAATTCTGTACCTTTTCAATTGCACACTTTAGCTTATTCATATGAGATTCAAAGAGAGGAAAGTGAGAGAAAAAGAAATCCTGGAAGTTCCTCTGTGCTTCTTCTCTTTCAGGCAAAGCAAAAATTATGCTAATAGCAATCTTCTTTCTCCGGATCATTGCAGGGTTGGAGTGGCAGCTTTCATCGGCCATGCTGAACATCTCTTCAGTAGACCTGCAACAGTGTAGTGGTAGACTAGTTACCTGAATGTTCCTTATGCAAATTCTGTAATTTCAGAAACAAATTCTGATAATTATTCAGTCTTCAGAGTTCTGCAAACATTTTGCTTTGGCCTAACCCCAAGATTAAAGAGAGACATCAGCCAAAGTCAAAATGCAAGATATGTTCCAAGTTAAAATGCAAAACATGTTCCTAATGAAAGTTTCTCTCTCAAAACTGCCTTCAAATCATGTCTATCCAAACTGCTCTGTGCATGTCCTTTCACATCTGATGAAGGGAGCTCAAGCTCATTAAAGCATATGCACTTCCAATTTAGTTTATCAGGTGCATCTTTAACCTGCCATCTGCCTAACTTCAGGCTAACACAGCTAACAATCTCTCTCTGCCACCACAGTTAACACCACACAAAAGTATCTCATAGGAATTAAAACTACTTCTGTTCCCCATCCATAAATTTAGAAGATTGCTCCTTATTGCACAAGGTTGTTACGGTGGTAGAGGTGATGAAATGACTTGTCGAATACCACAAGGGAAGTTTATGTCAGAGCTGGAAACTGAACCCAGCTCTTCCAGTGCTATTCCTTAATAACCAGATGACCGTATCTTTAAGATTTACATGCTCTGGTTCAGGACAGAACTCATGAAAAATACTAGTCATTTGTACGATATCCATCACAAAACCAAAGCCCCAGTCAGGAGTTGGCAATGTCTATGTGCTAGGTATCATACACACATTAACAGAGAAGTGTCTGCTCTAAGAGATTACTAATGAAGGAAAAGCCTTTTCATGGAAGATAAACCACAACTGCCTTTGGCTATCCTCATTGCAAAGAAAGAGTTGTGTTCTTACACAAAGATACAAAGAACTCAAATTGGGTATATAGGATTTTGCCTCTGTCAGACCCAAGGCATTTACATTGATGTGAATATTTAAGGTTGAGGAGAAAACTGGTCTAACAGGATTTTACATCAAAACAACTAGTTAAAGTAAAAAGATACCCTTTTAGTGCTAAACAGGACCAAGTTAACAGGGAATGCAACTACCTTTTCTCTCCCACTCCTGCCAACTCTTGTTCAGTGGCAGCATCTCCTAGCAAACAGGAATAAGATGCTACTTTAGAGCTTTTCTCACTGCCAAAAAAATAATTTAAAAAAATATATCAACCAATCAACTATTTATGCTGCACAAGTAATCATTCTCCATAGCAACCACAGAAGTCCATGGTGGAATGCAGCAGGGCCTCTTGACCTCTATAGCAAGCATCATCCTGACATCAGTGATGGATCCCTCCCAACTGGATTAGAGCTTCCCCAACTTCCATGTACCAGCTTTTACACTATGGCAGTTCCAGGCTGTAATTTGTGGATTAGGCACGTGGCCCAAGGGACAGAAACTAGCAACAAAAACTGCAGTCTGGACACCAAGAAGACAGAGTCAATGATTAAAAAAAATACATTGAGCTGTTCAGTGATATGATAAGCAATGCAATAATTAATCATGCTATCATTTCAGAACTAACAGGTTACTGAGATAAGAAAACTGGCTTTTCTCCAAGCTATTGCAGGCTCAGGCAGATACAGTATCAATTAAACTGTGTTTAGATTTTGAAAGTTATGTTTACAGCCTGAAGAGCTAGATCTTTTTATAAAAGGGAATAGGAAAGCGCAGGACAGAGGAAGAGAGAAAACAGTGCCTATTCACTTACAGGTCTACAAAGAGGAGCTACCTACCCATTTGACACTTACATTTGCTCACTACAATGAATTCCTGGAGTCCCCATAATCTTATGCAACATGTTAGTGAAAATACAAAGCCCAAACTGCACAGGCCAGTAGTCAGCAACTTTGAAGAGATGGGCCAGAATAACTTGGCTGGGATATGAGATAGGCTGGCTCTAGGACTCGCCCTCTGCTACTTCCCCTTACCATCCAGCTGCAGCACATGCGAAGCTCCCTGCCACTGAAGACCCCCAGTCCAAGGGCTGAATTTAGCCCATGGCCACAGGTTGCCAACTCCTGCCATAGGCACATCCAAGCACATTGAAAGGAGCAAGCCAAACAGCCCACTGAATGACTGGATCATGTTAACAGGCTTCACAGACATGAAGCAATTTTCATAAAGCTGGATCTTTCCCAGAGATACAGCACAGAATGCCCTTAAGGCAACATAAGTGCTTCACTCAGCTAATGAGAAGTAATCCTACTATCTATTATTGATTTAAGGTCATGTCAGGGAAGTAGGGGAGGGAGGGATTTAAATGCTCTGAATCTTCAAATGTACTGTCAGCTGCCAAATTGATTAAATAGCCTTTCACAAGCGATCCCAAGTGATTGGATAAGGGGGGAGGGTAGTGGTGGTGGTGGCAGCGACGGCAGGAAAACATGCATGCACACATGCTGGAAAATATTTGCACTGCAAGTCCGAATTTACTAATGGATTTACAGAAAGTGCTTTTCATAAATTAAGGGACTTTTCATGAGGCTATTTTATGGTGCTGTTCTAAATACACATAGGTGATTAAGTCCTTAATATTCTTAACATTTTTAGACAGAAAATAGTAGAAAATGCTAGCATTCAATCTAATGCATCCACCAAGACAAGAAAAAAGTAGTTTAGTGTACATTGTCCAATCACCCATAAGACAGACCTGGTCTGTCCAACTTCTAAGAGGTCAAAAGCCAAATGTCCTATGGGCTGCACCTGCAAGGGCCACACACCATACAGGTCATGTGAAGGCAAGCCACAGGCCTCCCAGGTCACATGCCACACCATTCAGATGCGCCCCCACCACCCCACAACTGTATCATGAGCCCACAGGGTCCCAAGCTCAACCTCTGTTCCCCATGCTGTGCTGCACTACCCTGTCCCCAATGTTAGGGCAGGGAATGGAAGCTGGAGGGAAGGGAAGCCCAGAGACTTTGGCTGCTGTTGTCTCCAGAGCTGGGAGGGAAGTGGCAGGTGGGTGGAAGACTTGGACAGCTCTGGAGGTAGACAAACTGCAATATCCAGAGAAAAACTTGCAAATAAATTGTCTCTAGACTTAACTTTTCCAGATAAGGATGTTGCAGCATAGTTAGCTTTATAAAATGGAAAATCCTAATAATAGACTTTGTAAAGCATCAACTACTACTTTTTTTTTTTGTGGACTACCATCAGGCAAACTCAGAGGATAGTTTTGAGCTGGCTATCTGAATAGAGAAGTGAAACTTCTCTGGAAACTCACCCTAAGCAGAGACTGTTTTCTGGGTGATCTTTTCAATAAACTTAGTGTGTATACATAATTTATCACCACATAGGGATGAGAATCAAGGCAAATCAGGAGAATGAAAACAGCTTGTGGGAAAAGAGTTCAAGACAATATTATGTCATTTGACTTCAGTGACTAGTATAGAGACAGAAATTCCCATGGATGTTGTGAAAGGAGTAGCTAGTCAGGATCTAAGAAACATCACAATCACATTCTTGTGCTGTTTCCCAGAATCTGAAATTGAGGAACTAAAGTCTGACTGGGCAAGAACAGCTTTCAAAAGCTGCTAATCATACTTGTGTGCCAAGTGACTATCTGGAGTTTCAGATATAAAAGTTTCATTTTCTTTCAGCCATTGGTCTAAATGACAGATACTGTGCTGCTTTGGCTATGCCTGAGGAAGTACAGATTCAATTTCCACTGAAGTAAATAGCAAAAATCCCATTGCTTCAGTGGTGCGTGATGAAATGAGATCACAAATGACTTTCTAAACAAAAAATTCTCAGCCTATTAGAACTATAATGTTTGAAATAACTTCCTTATTGGCTATGGCCAATTAAAAAAAAAATCCCACATACAACACTAGAGAAGCCACTAACCTCTAGAGAATAATTTGGTTCTGCATACTGTAAACATTACACTGAATAAAGAAACTACTGTTCTGATAACTAGGTCCCAATTTTACCACTTAAAAATAAGATGTGAAACAACTGAAACATGAGAATTTATTTTACACTAAACTGCAAGTCAATTTAATTGAACACAATTTAAATAGTTAATGAATTGTGGTTTGTTTAAAAAGCCACTGACTTCATTTTTGATTATCCTGTGACTTTTTTTCATTTGGTGGCCTTCAGCATGACCTCTTGGGCGAGTCAAAAAAAGTAAAAGCCCAAAGCAGCAGAGCACTTAGCATGTTTATCTGTCGCTATAAAATGGACAGAAGATGAATGGAGTACAACCACAAGATAGGGAAGCACTATAGCATAGTGGATTAGTGGGTGCTACTTCCATGCTGGAAATCAATGCACTAGTTCCCCTACTTCACCCCACCAACAAAAGGAACAGGGTATATGCCTACTCAGTAACAATTACAGAGGCACTCTGGTAAGCTTGGGGGAACCCTCAAGAATCACAGGGGATGAAGGTCACCAACTCTTGTCATTCTTAATTCCATCCACATGTTGTTTCATTAAGGCAGCCCAGCAGTACCCATCTCCACTTCCCCAAACAGAGCAGCACTAGGTTGAATACCCCTTTTCCAGGTAACATCGATGAAACTGGGAGAAAGCCACAGGCAATTCCTACACCCATCACCTCAATGCTGTCCCTTGCCCACTGGGTACCAGTACACATGTACAGTAAAACCCAGCTCACGGGGCTAGATTCATGAAAATAAAGATTTGCAAAGCAGCAGGAAATTACACACAGCTACAGCAGACAGCAGTGTGCACTGCTCCAGTAGCCCAGCTGATGGGGGTGGGGGGCAGGGAAAAAAAAAAAATCACAGTAACCAGCTGAGTGACTTGTTCTTAATTTACCTGCAAATTAAGGAAGTTACAAACCAACCAGATACAGTATCCACTTCTGGTATTCACTCTGAGCAGGAGTGATAGCCAAGATTCAGTCCTTAATCTCACCCACAAACGACAGTCTGTGAGCTAAGAATTTTGATGCCTTCTGTGATCCAGATATATAAACCAACGAAGCCAAAATGTGGGGGGTTTTTTGTTTTGTTGGGGGGGGGGGACATTATTTCGTGGCAGGGATTGGTTTGGGGTTTTTTGCTTTGTTTGTTTGGCTCAAAGTCCTGTTCCTTTCTGTCCCTCTTGAGTTTTTCCAAAATCATGCTGGAGACATCCTGTACCTGCCAAGAGTCGTCATGGGCTCCTACACCAAAGTTTCAATCACTAGTCATTAATTAGAAAGTATTTCTTATAATAGAATGGCATTTTCCCCTGTGATATTTGTTTGTCCTTCATCTTAATATGTAGCTCTGTTCTGACAGAAACAGCAGATGGTTTAATTTTCCTGTTTGTTTGAAAGGCTGTATTAAAGTTAAAGGATAAACTTTTATTTGCAGTTTGTTCATTTTCAACTTGGGTTTTGTAGTCCTTATTCACATAAAATGATTTTCTTCACTTCTTGTAACCTTAGGCCACTCATAAACACTAGTAGGTAAGTGACTAGACAAAAGTGCCAGAGTGCTTTAAGACTACATCATGTTAAAGTGCAGAGTCTTGGGCAGTTATAGTGAGTGCAGCCAAGCTGCTATTTTCAACAGCAGTTACAATACTCACCACCTTGGGATAATTCCATTCTCTAAACTTGTTGTTTGACTTCGGAGCCAGCGGCGCTGGTAACTGCTTGAAGAGGAGGATGAAGAGCTTGGAGATGGGAACGGCGTAATCAAGAGACTGCTCAGTGATGCTATCAAGAAAGGAACATTTTAGATCGGCCTTTCAAGTACTGATTAAATGAAAACTCCCCCCTCTCCTGGTTAGTATTACAAATTATAAGTATTGCTCTTGCTTGCAGACTTTAATTTTGGCCCAACCCTCCTTCAGCAAGAGATTTTTTTTTTCCAGCTATTCTTGGTGCCTTAAGAAAAAACTTCATAACTGTATTAACAGGACAGGAATGTTATATACACTGAGACTAAGACTATCTCGTCATTCTTGGGTTTGTACACAGCTGAAACGATGTCCTCACTAATGTCTTTCCAGTTGTACAAGCTAAGCAGTACCCCCTCCCTTCTGCAGTCCCCCTCTCCACCCTCCCCTGCTGTCCCCACAAGTAAAATGCCTTAGCTGAAACTAATCGGGGTAGTGAGGAGCTTGGATTGGTTGTTCCCAAGGACAGAAACCTTGTTTATAGACAGGGAAACTTCTTAATAGATTTTCTAAGCATGGACTGATGTGTTGTAAACAGGGGTGCCTCAAATTTAGCATCATTGTGTAGACAAAAGTCTGAACTGGTGAACTGTGCTAACTTTTGCTAATACATCAAATGGGGGTGGGAGGAAAAGGGAAAAGAAAAACAACCATGAATACCTGACCGAGCAATGCCACTGTCTCTGTCCTCATTTTGCCCTCTGCTAGGCATATCAACTGGTGTGCTGTGCGCTACAGCAAACAAATCAGAACAGAAAAATGTTATACAACTCTTCAGGGTGTTTGCCAGTATTAAGAGGAGCAAAGTTACATTCTGTGCTGTTACTTTAAATAAGGAATAGCTATGTCCACAGTCTGGTGAGGCCAGAAGGAATAGTAAGCGATGTTTTCAAATAGCATCCCACATAATTTGGGGGGTGAGGAGGAATAGATGCCTTTCTTCTTTAAAGCAAACAAATGCTTTTAAGTATCTATAGTAATGTGAATATTGTACATATTACCAAAAGACAAATACAGTTTGAATATGAGGCCCCTGTAAAGTATTTCAGGTGGATAGAGGCAGCCGAAATATCACTAGTCACTCTTGAAAAATCCTGGTTTGTTTTATTTTTGTAGGGTTATTGGTCCTAAAACAGCAAACATCACTGTAAATGGGTAGCCATCTACAAATGTAATTAGATTTTAATTAGTTTATTACTACCAAGCATAAAGTTTCACAGGATGGAACAAATATTCAGGGTAATGGATAGCACCTCCATTAAGCGTTAGTATCACAGAATCACCTAAGTTACACAGCATGCAAAAGTTGAGAGAAATACAAAACATCATTATTAGGACTTTAAATGTCCATTTTTGTAAATCAACAGGATCAATTAGGGCTGAGCTTTATCCACCTGCATGGGCCATCATTACATCTGTAAAAGAAGACTTTGATCTGCAAAGGAGATGGAATGCTACTTCAAAAATACAAGAAAAGTCCACTGTTTTAAATTCCAAACATTAAGCCTCTCAGATGCAGCTCAAGAAGGATTTAAAAAAAGTTATCCTCAAATCAGAGATCCACAGGTAAAGTAAGAAAGAGGCAAAAGTAATCTGCACACCAGGAAGAGACCTGCACACTAGCAAGAAACCCACGATAGACCAGGAAACATAAGTCCTCCTAGAATTGCAAGGGCTCGTTTATTATTAAAAACATATTATATATTACTCAGGAAATATCCTGAGTATCAATACAGGAGGTAGGGTGGGGAGAAGAACAGGAAGCTATCAATGCAGCCTGGTATTTCACACAGATTTGAGTCAAACAAAGCCAATATTTGCCTATTATCATAAACTTAGCCCTTTCTATTTCTAGAGAGCAATTATGGATCTCCTGCCAAGAATCAGAGGGAGCTGCATTTGTGTGTATGGGTGGGGTCACACTGTGCTCGTCATTCCTCACAAACCTGCAAAGAAAGAAGCACTCCGGATGAGCCGGAGGGGGCCTCCTTCAGATACACCTTGCAGCAGTTTGCTGCTACACAGCTGTAACACACCTAAAATGAACCGAGGAGAAAATTCAAGACAAAAACAAAAAAATTAAAGAGACAATACAAGGAAAATAAGATTTTAAAATGGCCTCACATTAGGAAAAGATTTAATTATTTTTTTTAAAGAAAGTATTTACCTAGATTACTTCCACTACGACAAGTGCCCAAGCCATTTTGATTAGAGTTCATCTTTCCCAGACTGGGATCTTGGTTGATGTATTCAAAACTATCTTGTAAGCTAAAAAGAGAAAGAGAGCTAAGACAGACTATTGTTAAGGGTACTATTTTTTTTACATGGTAGTTGATGTCTAACTTCACAACCTCAAGGATCAGCAAATTTTCTTTCAATAGATATTAACGATCACTATTTATTTTCCATTGCAACACCTTTTTTTGGATGATAGTTCCAAAATGACCCAATTTTAGACTGACCTAGATCAGGGTTGCTCAACCCCCAAGCCTGCAGCACCGTGTCATCTAGCTTGCAGGACTCCTAGCCAGTCTGGATATTTGGTGCCAGGGGAGCAGTGCCACCACTACCCTGCTGCCAAATCTCTGGACCCATGGGGAGTCCTGGGCACGGTGCTCTGGATCTAGCACCTGATTCCAGTGCACAGGAGGTGGGAGGGGGCGGTGCCAGGCCCCAGAGTCCAATCCCAGTGTGCAGGAAGTGGGAGAGGTTAACTGGGTCCCAGGGCCTGATCTGACCCATGGGGCCAAAAAGTTGAGCACTAATGACCTAGGTGATTCTTGTGCTTTTGGGGTGCAGTAAATAGTAAACACACATTTTCAACCATGTTAAAGGAAAGAGAGAAGTAAAGAAATGCATATATCCTTGTTTTATTACAAAAAGCAAGCCATTAGCAGGTTGTGACCCAAAAGTGGTTGCATGAATAGGGTTGTGAACAAACTTTAAAAATGGAGTCTCCTTTAAAGGAGAAAAACATGGGAAACGGTGGCTTTTTCCTTGCAGGCTGGCAGAGTTCCAGCCTGCAAGGGGCTCCCCATAGCCTCCCCTGCCCCACACACCCCAACTCCATACACTGGGGAGCTGGAGGTAGAGGGCAGCAGGTCAGGACTGTCCATCAATGTTTACAAATGGGTCCTGGTACAAAAAAAGGTTGAGAACCACTGCACTAGATGGAGAAGCTTTGAGTTTAATGCACTGCTTTCCCCAAGTACACTGTGAAAAGCCTGAAGGATCCCATTCCCCCGCCAGCTGGGGGATGAAGAGATTCAGCATGAGAACACTGAACCTCAGAGTCAGGTTTTCTCCTTTTCAATCTTTGGCGACAGTAAGTTTATACCATTTCCTTTTACAAGTACATGCTTCCCTGTTTTAAAGCAGTAAAGCTTAGAAGCAGCAAACAGACAAACTCTAAAAGAGGAGAGAGGCAGAATAAAAAGAAAAGAAAAGAAAAGGCTCTTACTTGTTTGTGCTGCCACTGAAGCTTCCCACTCGGGCTGAGAACACTTTACTTATCATCAGCTGTGGAGGAGAGCTGAAAAGATAAACAATCCCCATCATCTCAGTGGCTCGCCAATTCCAATACTTCCTCTTCCCTTCATTTTCAAAACCTGGCAATACTCATAAAAGAGGGCACTTACCGTATGTAGTGGATTTTCAAGGTAGAGCCCTTATAACTCATTGCCACTGAACCAAACATCATTTCTCCCAACATGTTGACATCAGAAGCTGGTCTGGTATACTGCAAGTGAGGGGCGGAAACAAACAAAACAAAACAACCATTCATAACCAGTTGTCTATACTAATGTGATTTGCCACAGAACTTTCTTCTGAATGCGGAATAAAGGTAATCTCCGATTCTTGGTGCAGTGGTACACACCAAGTGTCACTAGTTAAGGACACAAGTATGGCTGTAGTATACACTTCATTTCAGTTGATTAGAAAGGCCCTCTAGAAAGTAGGCAAAGATTATACCTCCCCATCTTTCCAACTGGCCCAAGATACCTAGTACTGTATACCCCAGTATTAATATTCACATATTATTGGACGTTAAAAAAAATTTTTTAAGTAAGCTTTAAATGGTTCTTTTAAAAACATTAACTCGGGTAGTAAAATACACTAAGACAATTTAAAAAACAAACAAACCTGCCCTACCAAGAGAATCAACTTCCTACATACTGGGTGCATCTACACATGCAATTAAGGTGGAGCAACAAACCCAGATGCAGTTTGTGCTGGAGTCAACTGCTCCCACGCACAGCATCTACATGTGTACGTGGGGCAACAAAACTTTGAGCCAGGGCACAGCAGCCCCGAGCTGGCAGTGGACCTGGGAGAGGGTCAGCCCCAGGCTCTGGGTGGCAGCATCAGGGCTGGCTGGGACACAAGGGTGCTGAAGCGTGGGGTTAGGTGGCAG